CCCACAATATTTTGTGATGTGAAGAATCTACTCTTAGCAAGTAGCAAGCACCCATCATACTTTTATTTTATTTTGTAGATTATGAAAATAAAACTCTATTGAGGGGACTTATGAAATTTTATCAGGGAAGTATAATGTGAACTTCACCTCTGATTAATGTAACTCTGTACATCGAATAATAATGGAATGAAATTGTACACTATTCAAAGATGTTAAAGGGTTAAGACATTATGTAGTAGTCATTGACTTGTGCCGTTAGACTCGGGTGCAATGGAAAATTCGATCCTGCCCTTTGTGCCTACATGAGCTTTATCACCACCACACATTAAAGTTCATGTTCACGAATGGAATTTTCCAGGGCTACAGTGATTTTATTTTTTATTTATTTATTTATTTATTTTTGTCCTTTTCGTGGACTTTTAAAATATTGGAAGGACTTAACCCAACTGCACTTGAAAAAGCAATACTGTGGAAAATTCAGGGAAAGTTCAATAACTGAAAGTTATTGAATTATTACTCGTGAGTAGATTATTTTTTGTATGAAAATTGGACTTTAAAAAGCGTGTTGCTCCTTTTCTTTGGATATATTTCATGCATGAATTGGTGAGGAAACACCTTAATTAGATGAAAATTTCATTCGAGGAAACATCTAAACTAACTACATCGGTCCATATTGTTTATGAATTCATTGTCTTAAAAGTGAACAATTAGATCAAACACGTCAAGTGTAAATTGGAGAAACATTTCCAAATCTATAGTATAAATAGAATTATATAGATCCCACTTATGCAACTGAGGTAAGAAATAATATGTGTACATGTTTTTAACTTCTTTTAGTGTTTGTCGTCTGCAAATATTCAAAATATAGCTAAAATCGATTCATGAAGTGTAGAGCATATCTTATTTTTAAGGAGACTTTAGAGCTAGGTCCTCATGGGTTCAGTGGTTCTAAGTTTTCTTATATTCATCTGTATTATTACTATGTTGCTGGTCTGTTTTCTTGATCTGAAAGGAGCTAGTGATTAACTTGCTTTCAGATTGGTTAGGTTAAGCTTATTCTAGGCCGTTTGATCACGATTCTCCTTGTTTATTCTGTATTGGGACTATTTAGTCTCCCGAGATGTAAAACTCTGTTTTGTATTGAATGAATATCCTATCGTTTCGAAAAAAAAGAAAAAAAGAAGTGTAGAGCATATCATAACCATACTTATGGTAAAATATATTTAAAATCCTCCGGAACAATATTTAGAAGCAATCAAATTGCATCTTCTTACCGAACCATTTTACATCGGTTAGAAGAAAAATCCGATCACATATGTATGCGTAACGCGTACATCATGTGGAGTATATCCCTGAAGGTTAAGTGGGACAGCGCCTGATTTAGGCGGCCGCCATTTTAATTAAATTAGTAGCTGACCGTTGGACCAAAACCAAGTCCATCACCGACCGTTGATCAAGTTACATGTCAAATGTGATTGGAATATTCTGCTCATTTTCTTCGGAAAAAAGTCAATTTTGACCTCGTAATGGTAATGTGTCACAACTCACAACTCACACTGCACCGCAAAGGCTTCGAGCAGTGACGGATCTAGAATTTTTACTCAGGAGGGTCCAATTTTAAATACAAAATAACGAGCTTGTAGTTTAAGTTAAAATGCTCATTTCATATAAAAATGTGTTTACTTATAAACATAAATATTGATATATGTAACATCAAGTTTTAAAAAATTTATAAACTATATCACCATCAAAATTTTACAATAATAAACAAAAAATAGAGATTTCATGTATTTATAATTTAATTACAACATCTATAATTTATAAAATAAATAAGTTTTTTTGATTTAAAATTAGATTTAAATTTAACATTTACAGCACGTTGCATTGCATTTTTGTTGATTAGAGCTTATCAAACGACCACTTTTTTTAAGAAAAAAATAAATAAAACTAAAAATATGTGATTACACAAAAAAATAAAGTAAACAATAAACATTCAAAAATCTAACAATCCAACTAAATACTCGGTTTTATAAATCACTAAATCGATTTACAATTAAGAGGCCGAAAGAGTAAATCATTATAAATATGTTTAAAAATTTATCTACTAATTTAAAATATAAGGATCGGTAGTATATTTTTCAATAAATAGCATAAAAACTAAGTTTTAATTATTTATATTAATTTAAATTAAAATAGCATAGAAACTAAGTTTTAATTATTTATATATTATAAATATTTTTTGCATTTTTTGTCCATATTTTATAGTGTTTTATTTTATATATATAATGATATTTAAAAAAAAAAGTGAGGGGGTCCATGCCCCCCCCTGGACCCCATGTGGATTCGTCATTGGCTTTGAGCTAATAGATTCCTGTAGATTTGGCTGTGTTGTCAACAACAACCAATGTTTTAAAACGCGCATCGCATCGCGTTTTGGTTCTTATATTGCTTAGCGTAAATAGCGTAGCGCATTGCGTAAGTTATTCGAGCAATCCCCCTATATATTAATTGAGAACGTGCTGAGCCATGTGGTAGGCTCGCATGCTTCAGGATCCTATGTGGCAAAAATACATGCTTCGTTATTAGGTTTGGATAGATTTAATTTATTTCTAATCCAAATATATTTAGGTTCGGATCATCTATAAATATGTTGATTATTTATGGTAGGGTGAGCGCGGGCCGGGACGGTCCTGGATTTTTTACTTGTCCGAGTACTCATCCCATTTTTATGAATCCGTCCATGAACGGTCCGGGATGAGGCACCGTCCCCACCCATGTAATACATGGGTGTTGTACTAGTTTACTTTTAATACCAAAAATAATAATATATATAACCAAACTCGCCTAAAGTCCTCCACTAAATAATCTAAAGTTCAAAAAAATAATTCTAGATCGATTTGGTCCACTTTACCTTAAATAAAATAATTTCTTTAGTTTAAATAAATAAACTAAACCATCATCTCCCTAAATTATTTAAAAAAAATTGGTCACTATCCTACCCACTCACACCACACAACGACACATATACACAGTTACACTAACATTTTCCTTTTCCCTTTGTTTTTTTATTATTTCTCTCATTTCCTCTTTCCTTATTCTTTCCTCTTTCTTCTTCCTTTTTTCTTCGCGCAGACAATTTCCTTCTCTCTTAAATTTCTTTCATTCCTAGACAGCAATTTTTTTTTTTCTTTCCCTAAATTTTCTTCAATTCAAACTCACTAACACAAATTTCTCAATACTCCCTAATTAAATCAATTAGCCCGAAATTCAAATAATGAAAAACACGATTGAACTGTCAGTTTCAATTGATCAGATGCCGACGACAGGCGGACCGGCGACTTGGGTGAGTCGCACTGGACAGGGGCCCGCGACGGTGTGGTTCAGTCACGCCCTGGAGCTGCCTACGATTTTGTTTTTTTTTTTTTTTTGAAATATGTGCCTATAAAATTGAAAAATAAGGGCCAGAACACGCTATTGCGTAGATAGCGCACGAAATTGCGAGAAAAGTGTGCCACGTCACAAAAAGCGTGGGCATTTTAGGAAGTACGCAAATTTTTAAACGCAACAGCACGTTTTCGGCCAAACGTACGCTATTGCGCGCTATTTAGCGCGAAATAACGCTTTTTAAAACACTGACGACGACGACGATAATAATAATAATAATAAAAAAATAGATAAGTTTGATCTTCTTGGGATATATAAATAATAAGAGAGTTAATTAATTGCTTAATCATATGATGAAATAACTTATCATGTGAATTAGAAGTTTGATTTTAGTTTGGCCATGAATTAGCTGATCCAGATAGTTTACGGAATTATCAGCCTAATTACTAATTAGCTGATTATGTAGAGTATTTAGTGAATAATTAGTTATTCGATACGTAAAAACAACTGATTTTTATAATTTTAAAAAGACTCATGTATAGAGATTTTTCGAAATTAACTTTTTGAATCTAAAAAATATTTCAAATCACTATTTAAAAATACCTAATTTTGGAACATTATTTTTTTCAACCTATAAATTAATTACATGAAAGAGAAAGGAAGAATGAAAAGAATACGAAACTTCCATTTCTTTTCCCGTACGTTACAAAACAAAACTATCGAAGTATACAAATTAATGTAATTGCCTCCTTTAATTTCGTAATAGTTTTAGTATACGCTTACAAATCATATATACTAATATTTTATCCTGTATGTGAGGAA